TTTGGAAACAAAGGTCTCACTGTGTTGGCCAGGCTGCTGTGGGGCTCCTGGCCACCCTCCTGACTCAGCATCCCGAGTATCCAGAAGTCAGGGCGCACAGCACCTCTCTGGGCACAGATCATTTGAAATAAACTTAGAGATAGAGGCTGTGGTGACTATTTGGAATTTTTGTAAATTTTAGCAGAACACACACACACACACACACACACACACACACACACACACACACACAGTCTACAAGCAGTCTAGCCTTTGTGAAGCTCATGTGAGGTGCAGATACTGCTGTGCCCATCTTCAGATGAGGACACTGACACTCAAAGTGGACTTGGAGACTCCGTCCAGACTTTGAGGGTGGTGCTATGCCCTTGACTCCCGGGGAGTCGCTGTGGCGAGGGGACAGATAAGAGTGGAGAGGACAAGTGAGACCTCAGGTAAGCTAGTGTCCAGACACGGAGCCAAGCCGCATAGTTAGAGCAGTGGCCTACTTCCTGGAGCCAGCCGTGTGGTCAGTACGCCTCAGCCCGGTCTGGTCGAGGAGAACTGAGAGTGACTGGACTTAGGAATCACCCCAAGGGCAGAGTGGGGGCACCCGGCTAGGCCTGAAGCACTGGGTGACAGGCCAGTAGGGCAGGAACTGTCCCAACCTGAGCGAGCCTGTGGGTGGCACGCAGACAGCTGGAAAGGAAGAAATCAGCCCACCGACCAGAGGAGAGGGAAGGGTGAGGTGACCAGCGGGCCCCAGCAGGCTGCGAAGGCCACCGGATGTCAACCTGGAGACCTTGGCCTTGATGTCGGCAGCAGCAAGGCAAAGACACGGTGTCATGAGAGTGGGATCTGAGTAAGATATCTGGCACAAGCCGGGCGGCAGTGGCCCACGCCTGTAATCCCAGCACTCAGGAGGCAGAGGCAGGCGGATCTCTGTGAGTTCGAGGCCAGCCTGGGCTACAGAGCAGATCCAGGACAGGCTCCAAAGCTACACAGAGAAACCCTGTCTCGAACAAAACAAAACAAAAAAATAAAAACAAAAGATATCTGGCAGAAGGTAGAGGGGGTTCCTTGACAGTGATGGGGTGGGAAGCCCACTGAAGAACCTCCACAGCTGATCCTGAGGAGGGATGAGGTCAGGCCAGGCAGAGAGATTGGTAGAAGGAATGAGACCTGAGGTCTGACACGTTTGGACACTGGTCCTTCCTAGTGCTGGTCACTTCTTTTCTTCTATGTACCTCTGTTTTCCCATTTAGATTTTTAACTTTTGGGGCTAAGGATCCATTCTGAGAAGATGACAGCGCCAGGACCTTCTCTCCAGATAAATATAAGAATGGTTTGGTCAGAAAAAAAAAAAAAAAAAAAAAAAAGAATGGTTTGGTCAACAGTTTGTGAGGCTATAAACCTGACAAAATCCAATTTTGAATTTAGCTGGAGGCTCAGTGTAAGCACCAACAGCACCCGGCAGTAAGTGCTCACTCTGCACCGGGCGCTGCATGATGGGATCTGTCTCACAGTCTTGTTAAAGCTGTGCAACAACCATAAGAAACCCATACCACTGAATGTGTTCTGTTTTGTGGATGCGGAAACTGAGGAGGCCTAGAGAGGCTGAGTGACCGGCTCAGAGTCACAGCTGGAAAGACTTTGTCAACCCGGCCATTGGGGTTAGCCCAGCATTCTCAGACCAAGGAGAGAGGAACGGCAGAGACAGGCCCGGCCTGGGAAGACTTTTAAAGAAAGCCATGAAGAAGCCAGAGCTGGAGGTAGGGAAAAGGGCCTGCTTAGCCCTGAGGTGTCAGGCATCAGGTGATCCAAGGTGAGGGTGGAGAATGAAGATTTCATTTAGAGCTCCCTGGCCTTCTAGGATCCTACTGCTAATGGACCCGCACTGGAGTCTGCCGGGAAAGGGTGGTGTGTGGGCTACTCTAACTTCATGACCTGATTATGTGCAGTGCCTGGCAGAGAAGGGCTTATCCCTGACCCTTTGACTCAGCCTCCAGTGCTGTCTCTGGAATCTACCCTCCCTCCCTGTCCCAAGGCCACCGAGAAGGGCCAACGGGCCTTGGACTCTCCAGGGGAATGCCGGAATGGAGAGAGTCTTTCCATTCCAGAGAAGAGGCCTGGGGTCCATCGGATGAGATTACAGTGGCATCTGGAACCCAAGCTGCTTGGGACCCATGTTAGGGTCTCATCAGGCTCCATCAGAAGCACAGCAGGAAGAGACAGAGATCAGACGAGGCCACTGGCTGAGGCTGAAATCTAGATTTATGAGGAATTGAACTTGGTTGTCTAGAATAGGTCTTTTTGTAAAGAGGCAGATAATAAAAAATTTTAAGGCTTTGTAGGCCATTCATTCTCTGTTGTGATACCTTGAAAGTAGTCTCAGATATTGCATAAACAGGCGACCTGGCTAGATTCCAGTCAAACTTCAATTATGAAATAGACAACAGGCTGGACTTGGCCCATGGGCTGTAATTTGCCAGCTCCTGGTGAAAAGCCTTATTCTTTCTGAAGGGTGTGCAGATTTTAAACCAATATTAGTGATCTCTAAGCAAACAGACTTGGTGTATCGGGCAGGTTGACTTAGAATGTGATCTAACCATCTGGAATTAGTGAGTAGAAACTGGACTAGGGCCAAGTGTGAGCACATCCCGGCACCGGGAAAGTCAAGGCAGGAGCATGTTGAGTTTGAGGCTAGCCTGGGCTACAGAATACAGTCATGTCTCAAAAAGAAGCAGTGGTAACACCTAGATCGTGGCTGAAAATAGTTACAAATCTCTGACTTTGCCAGGCAGTAGTGGCGCACAACTTTAATCCCAGCACTCGGGACGCAGTGGCAGGCGGATCTCTGTGAGTTCGAGGCCAGCCTGGGCTACAGGGAGAGTTCCAGGATAGCTAAGGCTACACAGAGAAAACCCTGTCTCAAACCAAATACAACAATAACAAAAAATCTCTGGCTTTGCCTAAATTCACAGAAAGCTGAGATGGGGGAGCATGGGGCATTGAGATTTAGACCCATGTGTAGGGCTGTGGTCTGGATATGGGGAAGTGGGTGAGCGATAGCCACAGATATTGATCTGCAGTTGGCAGAGTTTTGGTCATAAGCCAGAGCATCATCTGATCTGGAATAGTGTGGTGTACTAAAGCACAGAGGAAGTAATATATGTAATTAAAATTTTTCTAATACCTTTCTTTCTTTCTTTTTTTAATTGAGACAGGGTCTTACTGTACAGCTCTGGCTGGTTCTGGGGATTAAAGGCGTGTGCCATGCCTAATACTCACTTTTTTTTATTTTTAAGACCAAGTGTCTGTGTGGCAAAGGAGGCTGGGAACTCACTATGTAGCCCAAGCTTGCCTCATCTCAAACTCAAGACCCTCTCTTAGACTCCCACATGCTGGAATTACAGGCATGTGCCACCAGACTGGGGCTTCTAATACATTCACCAAAGGAAAAAAAAAAAAGAAGCAAAATCCATTTAATAACGTATCTTATCTAACTCAGCAAATCAAAGATAGGATCGTCTCAACATATAATCATTATAAAACTACTGAGATATTTTCCTTTTTTAGGGTAAGACTTAAGTATCTGCTGTGTATTTTCCACTTAACAGCATTTCCCACTTCACGCTAACGGTGTTCTCAATGCCCAGAAGCCACATGTGGCACCTGGCTAATAGGGCAGCATGGATTTAGAAGCAGCCTTTCCTTTGGGACTAGGGTCCAGGAGTCACGAGCCAGAATAATCTGGAATACATAGGGTTGAAGTGCTAGGTTACACCCTTGACCAGCTTGAACTGGTATAGACTGGCCCAGCAGGAGACAGCACCTGGGTGGTGGGTTGAGGAGAAAGGATTCCCTCCCTCAGAATTCTGAGGAGCTGGCCTCAGGTGGAACCTCCGTGGTGGCTCCAGCTCCTCAGGACATTCGCCATCACCTCTGAGCACCAGCCTAAGCTCTTCCCAATGTCACCTCTGACTCTGGAGTCTGTTCTGGCCTGGCGGGGGGGGGGGGG